CAAAGTTGCACTGCATAATCTAAATGAGGTTTTATTAATGATGTGTGGAGTTGTAGAATAACCTTTAAACTCCTGATGCTTTTACCAATCTACATAAACCGAGCAACTCATTAGCTTTATTACAGATACTTAAGCAGTGCTCTTTCTGTTTCTTATTTCTGCTAATCATATTTAACAAGCATTTAGTGAAAATGCTAAAATCAAAATTTAATCTAATAATCCTTTGGTAATGCAAGTTATATTACTGGGGTCCATTAATGAAGATACTTTAGTCACACAACAATTAAACAAAAAATGACAGTTACATACAAGGAACAAAAACTCCTCACTTAAGTCATTATTATGTACAAGACAAGAGATTATAATTACTAGTTGTCCCCTGCAGGACAAACATTTGTAAAATTCAATTTTAATCACTTAGTAAGCAAAACTAGGACCATTCTTGAGAATGAAGCATGGCCAACAAATGCCAAAGAAAATATAGAGTAGTTGCCCTATATTTCTGGATGATACATTCCAAGACCTACCTCGGATGCCCGAAACTGCGGAGAGTAGCAAACCCTATATATAAAGTTGTTTCTCAATTACACACATACCTATGATGTCGGGTGTTGGAGGGGTGTAGGGATGGAGGCTGGAAGCAACAAGGTGGTGTGGTAGTGACCATGTGGGTGGCTTTGTCAATGCCCCAGTGTGGGTGGTAGTGTGGATGATGGGTGACTGAGTAGGTGTGTGTGCGCAGTTGGTGTGGGCAGTAATTAGGGTGGTTGGTGGCTACAAGACTAGAAGTGTAGATGGCATGTTAGGGTGTGGGGGGTATGAAAGCATGGGTAAAGTTGTGGATGTGTGTGTTGTGATGACTAGAAGCTGGGGGGGGAGTGGTGTGGGTAAAGGTGTTTATGTCAGGGCCTGGTATGGGTGACTGGATGATGGGTAACTGGATGAGCATTGTGCAGTTGGTGGTAACGAGCATGGGGGTAACTAAATGATTAGGTATGTGGATGGCATGTTAGGTGAAAGGGCAGGTAAAATGTGTGGGTGAGGTCATAGCGGGAATGTGGCCATGAGGTAATGGTGGTTATGGGGAAATGGTATAGGTGTAAGAGTGTGACCATGGGGGCAATTGTAGGGCAACTGTGTGTGTGGTGGGGGGGAGGGGGGGTTGCTGGTTGAAGGCGGGGTGGCTGTAAGAGGAATTATAGGGCAGATGGTAGGGTAGGGAGACTGTTGCTGGACGTAGAGTGAGGGTGGGGACACGGGCAGAAAAGGAGGTGAATGAGCAGTTGGTGTGGGCAGAGATGTGTATCAACATAGTCAAGACATTTGTAGATGAATGGTTAAAGAAGAACCGCATGTTGATAAATTAGACACATGTGCAACTCTTGGGTATCTTTATTGAGGAAACATTTCGCCACACAGTGGCTTCATCAGTCCATACGTAGGAGAAACTTGAAGAACAGAAGGAGAAATGGGTAACAGTCCCTCAACCTCAAGGTTGAGGGACTGTTCACTTTTTGTTTCAACTGTAAACACCTGGTCCACACACCCCCCCTGCCTTTCATAAAGCCTCTTTGCTCATCTGCTACCCTATTCTCCGTTTTACTCTTAATTCTTTCAATAAAAAACTCTACCATACACTTTACCGGGTATAACTCAACAGACTTATCCCCCTACAATTTTGCACCCCTCTTTTGTCCCCTTTGCCTTTATAAAAAAGAAAATATGCTTCTTCTGCCAATCCCTAGGAAACCTTACCCTCTTCCATACATTTATTAAATAATTGCACCAACCACTCCAAAACTATATCCCACCTGCTTTTAACATTTCTATCTTTATCCCATCAATCCCGGCTCCCTTTAAACCCCCTTTCATTTTACCTACTGCCTCACGAACTTCCCCCACAACTCACAACGGGCTCTTCCTCACTCCTACAAGATGAAATTTCCCCTCCTTGCCCTATACACGAAATCACAGCTTCCCTATCTTCATCAACATTTAACAATTCCTCAAAATATTCCCTCCATCTTCCCAATACCTCTAACTCTCCTTTAATAATTCTCCTCTCCTATTTTTAAATGACCAAATCCATTTGTTCTCTAGGCTTCCTTAACTTGTTAATCTCACTCCATAACTTTTTCTTATTTTCAACAAAATTTGTTGATAACATCTCACCCATTCTCTCATTGCTCTCTTTTTACATTGCTTCACCACTCTTTTAACCTCTCTCTTTTTCTCCATACACTCTTCCCTCCTTGCATCACTTCTACTATTTGTAAAAACTTCTCATATGCTAACTTTTTTCTCCCTTATTACTCTTTTTACATCATCATTCCACCAACGCTTCCTCTTCCCTCCCGCACCCACTTTCCTGAAACCACAAACTTCTGCTGAACACTCTAACACTACATTTTCAAACCTACCCCATACCTCTTCGACCCGTTGCCTATTTTTCTCATTAGCCCATCTATCCTCCAATAGTTTTTTATATCTTACCCTAACTGCCTCCTCTTTTAGTTTATAAACCTTCACCTCTCTCTTCCCTGATGCTTCTATTTCTCCTTGTATCCCATCTACCTTTTACTCTCAGTGTAGCTACAACTAGAAAGTGTTTCTGATATATCTGGGGCCCCCCTCAATAAACATGTACATCCCGAAATCTAATCAACAGTCTTTTATCTACCAATACATAATCCAACAAACTACTGTCATTTCGCCCTACATTATATCTTGTATACTTTATTATCCTCTTTTTTTTAAAATATGTATTTCCTATAACTAAACCCCTTTCTATACAAAGTTCAATCAAAGGGCTCCCATTATCATTTACACCTGGCACCCCAAACTTACCTACCACACCCTCTCTAAAAGTTTCTCCTACTTTAGCATTCAGGTCCCCTACCACAATTACTCTCTCACTTGGTTCAAAGGCTTCTATACATTCACTTAACATCTCCCAAAATCTCTCTCTCTCCTCTACATTCCCTCTCTTCTCCAGGTGCATACACGCTTATTATGACCCACTTTTCGCATTCAACCTTTACTTTAATCCACATAATTCTTGAATTTACACATTCATATTCTCTTTTCCCCCTTCCATAACTGATCCTTCAACATTACTGCTACCCCTTCCTTTGCTCTAACTCTCCAGATACTCCAGATTTAATCCCATTTATTTCCCCCCACCGAAACTCCCCTACCCCCTTCAGCTTTGTTTCGCTTAAGGCCAGTCATCCAACTTCTTTCATTCATAACATCAGCAATCATCTGTTCTTGTCATCCGCACTACATCCATGCACATTCAAGCATCCCCGTTTTATAAAGTTTTTCTTCTTCTCTTTTTTAGTAAATGTCTACAGGAGAAGGGGTTTTACTAGCCCATTGCTCCGGCATTTTAGTCACCTCATACGACACGCATGGTTTAGGGAGGAAAGATTCTTTTCCACTTCCCCCAATGGAAATAGAAGAAATAAAGAAGAACAAGACTATTTAGAAAAAGGAGAAAAAACCTAGATGTATGTATATATATATGCATGTGCGTGTGACAAAAGTGTAAGTAGGGGTGCAGGATATCCCTGTTATCTAGCGTGTTTATGAGACAGAAAAAAGAAACCAGCAATCCTACCATCATGCAAAACAGTTACAGGTTTCTGTTTCACATATATTATTATTCTTTCAACAAACCGGCCGTTATCCTTACCGAGGCAAGTGGCCTAAAAGGAAAAAAGGAGGCTTCTTCTTTTAACTTTAGTAATGTATACTGGAGAATGGGTTACTAGCCTCTTGCTCCCCGGGATTTTAATCACCCTTACGACATGTATGGCTTACGGAGGAAGAATTCTGTACCACTTCCCTGTGGAGATAAGAGGAAATAAACAAGAACAAGAACTAGTAAGGAAATAGAAGAAAACCCAGAGGGGCATGTGTACATATATATGCTTGTCTATGCATGTGTAGTGTGACCTAAGTCTAAGTAGAAGTAGCAAGGCGTACTTGAAATCTTGCATGTTTGAGACAGAAAAATAACACCAGCAATCACCTACCATCACGTAAAACAAATACAGGCTCCGTTTTACAATCAATTGGCAGGACAGTAGTACCTCCTTGGGGGGTTGCTGTCAACCAACTTACTACCTATATACAATACTACTTATTATGATTATTTTATAATCGGTGTTTTATACTGGGGAGAGATTGAGTTTTTTCTTCAAAAGTAAGTTATTCTCCTATTAGTAAAATTTTCTTTGTTATTCATTATGATTTTTACACACATTATTCAGGTATCATAGTTTTACAATCTAATGAAGGGACTTTGTAATATTCTTTAATTAATGTAGTTCAAGTCCCTCCATACAATTTGTCTTCAGCCTTTACTTGTTCATGTAAAGACAACTACAACATCTTAAACATTAACAATTTTGAATAAATTTTTTCCAACATGTTGCCATATCAAAAATCATTATTTTTTCTCTTCTTATTTTTAGGCAAACTTCATGAAATTTTTAGTATTCAGTTTGGACCATCTTCTTAACTTACAATAAAAAAATAATTGAAATTGGACTATTATTAAAATTTTCCTAGCTGAATCCTGCTCCCCCTCTTGATATTTTTAAGCCACAGTAAACTGCGGATAACTGAAACCAGGAAAACTGAACCCCCGGATATCGGGGTTCTACTGTACTCAAAAATAAGATAATTTTCAAATCAAATACAAAACTTATTTTAATTTAGCATATCACATGAATAAATTTACTTAAAGTAGAATATGTTTAATGATGCAGTAATATGGAAAACTAAGCAACAATCATACACAAACTGCAAGTGCTTATTAAATCCCACATGCAGGTACTTTATGCTGCCTACTAATACATTGCTTAACATGTAGATACCTTATGCTGCCTACTAAGATATTGCTTTAAATACAAATACTTTACACTGCCTACTAATACATTACTTAACATACAGGTACTTTATGCTGCCTTCTAAGACGTTACTTACAATACTTTACAATCTCTACACGAGATCGAAGCTTCCGACCTTTGGGTGGATGATAATAAACATCACATCTTTTCTTCTCGGCAATGGCAACGTCGTACCACTTCACGTACCCAGCCTAAAAATAATTTAAAAAATGCTTAGAATGGACTGATGACAAAGAAAATATTGAATCAATCACTGGTTAGCAAGTGAGAGAATAAAATAACTACATCACACCATTGTCTCAAAATATATTTTATGAAATTTTAAAATAAGTCGGCATAGGTTACTATTAGGCGAGATGGTAATAAGACTAGGATACAGAGGAAGGTACAATACAGTGGAACCTCGGATTTCGTACTTAATCTTTCCAGAAAGTCGGTCTAAATCCAAAACGTACAAAAACCAAAGTAATATTTCCCATAAGAAATAATGTAAATACAATTAATCCGTTGCAGAAACCCAAAAATATATAACAAAAAAATACATTTTTTAAAGAATAATTATAGTTTTCATACAAAAAAACGATGAGAAATAAATATAAATGGCTAATTTTAATGATAAATGAACTTGACATATCTTTAGTGAAGACTCTTGTTGGTGTATTGAAGGTGAGGAGGGGAGAGGAAGTTGAGATTATTGTTTGGAAAGGGAATCTCCCCACCATAAGGACTTCAGTATCAAAGCCCTCTCCGGGTTACTTCCCTGCTTTGTCTTCTACTGGCACTGGACCCCTGTCACACTAAAAACTGTCTAGAGAGCGTTTCTGGCATCGCTAAGATTTGCCTAAAATGGGACAAGGTATTGTCACTGAACATGGTGCTGATACAGCTTGTATCAGTTTGGTCAGGACAATATTTTTCAACAAAAGTTTGCACCTCATTCCACTTTGCACAAATAGCCTTAATCACTGAAGAAGGCACCTTCTCCTCCCTCTCTCTTCCTCCTCCTCTGAAGTAATTTCCTCAGCTGTGGTCTCTTGCTGTTCCAGATGAAGGTCTTGCAGCTTTTCAGTGGTTAGCTCTTCCCTGTGGTCCTCTCCACCAACTCTTCCACATCCTGGCCACTCACATCCAATCCCATGGACTTCCCCAAAGACATGATACGTTCCACAACAGGCGTAGGGTCGACAGGGTCAGCCTCGAACCCTTCAAAATCTTTGAGGACACATTCTGGCCACAAATTTTTCCCAAGCAGAGTTCAAAGTCCTGAAAGTCACTTCTGCCAAGCCTTACCTATAAGGCTTATGCAATGGAGGATATTGAAGTGATCCCTCCAGAACTCTCTTAGGGTTAATGCAGTGTCCAAGGTCACTTCAAAGCACCTTTGAAACACTTCTTTCGTGTAGAGTTTTTTTGAAGTTAGAAATGACCTACTGGTCCATGGGCTAGATGAGAGGAGTGGTGTTAGGAGGCACTAGCTTCACTGTTATAAAACTGAATTCCCTAAACAACTGGTCTTCCAAGTCTGGAGGATGAGCAGTACCATTGTCCACTACCAGGAGGCACTTCAGTGGCAATTTATTTTCCAGGAGGTATTTTTTCACACTCAGACCAAACACTTCATGGACCCAGTCAATGAAAATTTGCCTCATGATCCAAGCCTTATTATTAGCTTTTCACTTTACACACAATTTACTCTTGACAACACGTTTTTCTTGAACACTCTGGGATTTTCAGAGTGATACACCAGTAAAAGCTTCACTTTGAAATCCCCACTAGCATTACCACAGAACAAAAGAGTTAGCCTATCCTTCATAGGCTTGTGTCTTGGCAGTGCCTTTTTCCTCCTGTGTGATGCAGGTCCTCTTTGGCATTTTCTTCCAAAAGAAGCCTGATTTCATCACAAATGAACACTTGTTGGGGGAGGAATCCTTCAGCCTCTACATACTCCTTGAATTCATCAACAAATTCTTCGGTCGCACATTTGTCTTAACTTGCAGATTCGCCATGCCTTACAACACTGTGTATGCCACTACGCTTCTTGAATCTGTTGAACCAGCCTCTGCTGGCCTTAAATTCACTAACAGCAGCACTTGTTCCAGGCATTTTCTTTACGAGATCCGCATGCAACCCTGCCTTGCCTTTTGCAAATGATCGGCTCCCACAGCACTATCTTCCGCTAACTGTTTTTTCATTGATCCACACCAACAACAACTCCACATCTTGATTGTTTGTGATCTCTCTTTCGTTAGCAAATTAACCCCTATCACAACTTTAGCTTCCTTGATTTCTACTTTTTTTTGCCAGGATGGAAGAGATTGTTGATTTCAATTTCCCATACATCCTGGCGAGCTCGGCTAAATGTACACGACTTTCATATTTTTTCTACAATCTTTTTCTTGAATTCTATCGTGTTTCTCACCTTCTTACCAAAGGGCTGGCACTAGGAACTTTCTTTGGGCCCATGGTGGCTTATTTCACAGTCGCAATCAATAAACAAGCACAAAAATCGAAATGTTTCGGATGAAAAAGCTCACCCAAAATAGCGACAGAGTCGACTGGAGACACGTTCACATGAGAGTGGGCGGCATCCGAGGTGGGCGGGACGCATCTGATACATAAAGATTTTCCAGATGAAGGTATAAAATCCAGACCAAAATTTCACCCCAGAAAGTGGTCTAAATCCAAACCTATGATATTCAGTGTGCAAAAAAAATCCCGAGTTCCACTGTATATGGTTATCTATATAGTAATGCGAAAAAAAAAAAAAAAAAAAAAAAAAAATCTCCTTTATTTTACCAACACTTTCACATATAGTGCTTCAAATTTGACTTTCAACCTTCTATATTACTAAGTCAATCCAAGCTATTATGAAATGATACAACACAATGTCCAAGACAGAAGAATAGAAAAGCCATCCTCCCAAAATTAAGTCTAGAGTAATTAACAAAAAACATGACACAAAATTGAATTCATCTCGAGGAGGAGGAGGAGGAGGAGGAGAGAGGAGGAAGGGGGAGGAGGAGGGAGGAGGGAGGAGGAGGGGAGGAGGAGGAGGAGGAGGAGGAGGAGGAGAGGAGGAGGAGGGGGAGGAGGAGGAGGAGGAGGAGGGAGGGGGGAGGGAGGAGGAGGGAGGAGGAGGGGAGGGAGGAGGAGGAGGAGGGGGAGGAGGAGGAGGAGGAGGAGGAGGAGGAGGAGGAGGAGGAGGAGGAGGAGGAGGAGGAGGAGAGGAGGAGGAGGAGGAGGAGGAGGAGGAAGGAGGGGGGAGGAGGGGGAGGGGGAGGAGGAGGAAGGAGGAGGAGGAGGAGGAGGAGGAGGAGGGGGGAGGAGGAGGAGGGGAGGGGAGGCGGAGGAGGAGGGGGGGAGGAGAGGGAGGAGGGAGGGGAGGGAGAGGGGGGAGAGGAGGAGGAGGAGGAGGAGGAGGCTTGAGGAGGAGGAGGATGGAGGAGGGGGGGGCGGCCGGGGGGGCCGGCGCGGAGGCTTTCTTAGTGGCGGGGGGGGGGGTGGCGTGCGGCGGGCGGCAGCGGGGACTTCGAGAGCAGCCAGCTGGCGGTGTGGACGTGCGTGTAGCACCGGCCGGCGAGTGAGCCGCGGCCTCAAGCCGCTCAGTGATTGGTCACCGCGTTGACCAATCAGAAGACACCTCCCCCCAAGAGCACATGAGAAAAATTTTAGACATCCTACGATCCCCGCTGGGGAGGGGAGCACTGCTTACTCACCTTCATTATTCTAACAGGGTAAAGATCAAACCTGTGAGTGGGACAGTCAACGACTCGTCCAAACTACCTTGCATCTCCCATCAGTGGTGGGTCTGCGAGTCAAGTGCAACGCAATCCTCTCTCTCAAGGAACTTTTTGGTCATCTGCACAGATGACCTCGAGGCCGACAAACTAACCACCACCGAAGTTATCTCCACCCTTCACCCAATGTGGATTCCAAGTCCTAACATCCCCAGCCCTGAAAGCCAAGAGAAATGTGTTTCTCAAGAAGCTCGACAAACTCATCACAACCCAAGGATTTCTGTAACCAAAATCAACAATTGAAGACCAGAACACCTGAGCCAAGATAGAACACATCACAAGAATTCCCAACTTCCTCCATGCTGAAAGGGCACCTTCAGCAATGTCAGCATGGCAATCAAAGCTCTTAATGAGGGCCTGGCCTCTTCTCTTCCAATCCATCCAACATTTTAAAAGAGAGAAATTTACATACACCCCAAGTTACAACTGCTATTCTTACCAGCATCCCACGAAAACTGCCCCTCCATAGACAAAAGTTGTGCTACCTTGGCACTGAAGGCCACGTTTTCAAAAGTCATGCACCTCCACCCCCACTCCCCACCCAAATTTCCTAAAACTGAAACAACACCACCACCAAAAACCTTTGGGGTGCCCCAAATCCCTACCCAACGTTTGAACTACTGAAAAAAAAAAAGTTGAAAAAAAGGAAATAAAGTTTTATTGAAAAAAAAGGAAAAAAAGTTTGGGAAAAATATTAAGGGTAGGGATAAAAAAAAATAGAATAAAGAGATAAAAAAAGAGAAATTTCAAAAGATAAGAAAAAAAACAACAACATGAAAAAATTTAATTTTAAAAATCCCACCCCTACAGTTAATCCACTAAAACAATCCACACCTCTCTCCCCCACCACTACCAACCCTAAAACTAAACTAATCAAAACCCACAACCCACACAAATCCCCCCAAATGAACCCCCTCCTCTCCCCCAAAAAACCCCCCCACATCAACAACTCCAACATCCACCCCACCTTCCCACCTCCCCCTCCCCACCTTCCCCACCTCCTCCACCAACCCTACCCCCCTACAGAAAAGGGGTACCCACACCAGAAAAAAAAAAAGCAAGCCTCGCGGGAAATCACCAACCTCCAAGACAATACTGCAAAATTCACCTACCCGAAAGACCAACACCCCAAAGAATAAACACCACCTCAAAAACCACATATGATTCAACTCCCCCCTCAAGTTTTACACCCTCCGAACAAGTTTAATGCAGCAGCACGGATCAATGCAAACCAACCCCCCAAGCTGAAGTTCCCCGCACTTTGCTATTTTGCTAAAGTGGGGTGTGGCTCCCAAAAGCCCTGTTTCCCGGGCCCACCAACCTTCCCTGCCCACCGAGTACCAGCCCCCACCCTACTGACACCTGCCAAAGCCCCTCGCTCCAAAACAACCCCCGCAGACCTCTGCACATCACGCTCCAGAGTGGACGGGCCACTCACCCCTGCAACCCATCTCCTACTCCACCCTCCCCCCCTCTTCCTTTTTTTTCCCGCCCCCCCCCCTCTTCCTTCCCCCTTTTTCACCAAACCCCCAGGGCAAGAACTTCAACTTCGAACAACAAAAATCAAAAAAACAAAAAAATTAAAATCAGGAGACCATATCACCTGGTGCATTTCAGGTTTGCAATACAACAAATAGAGAAACAAATACTACTTTTCTTTTTTACAACCACCACCCTGTGAACGTCAAACCCCCATACTAACCAAATTTTGTTTTCCTCCCCCCTTCAAGGTTAGTGCTTTTTATATGGGGAAAAGGCTCTTCATCTAAGGGAAATAGCACTCCTTCTCTTCCTTGGGTCAAACCTTTTTACCCCCCCAATTCTTAAACAGAGCAGGGCCTGCTTTACACTTTGATTTACAGTGTTTTGCTAATGCTGGTTTCTCAATTTTATCCCCTCTTCATTTTTTCGACTTCCTAAAATACAGTGGAGCCCCAGATATCGGCTGGTGAGGATATCAGCCAATCGAATTACGGCCGCTTTTTTGTCCAAAATTCTATCCTGGATTTCAGCCGGCAACTCGGAAATCGGCCATATTGGATGCGTCCGTCCGCCACAAGCAATCGCATGCGCAAGTCAGTCTGGCTGTTTCTCTCAGTGAGTGAGCAACACTTCATGCATTCATCCAAACATTTCGTTATAATCCACTGTTTTCTGTGGTTGTTTATCGAGTGCAACTGCGAAATAAGCCACCCAGGGCCCAAAGAAAGTTCCTAGTGCCCGCCCTTTGGAAAAGAAAGTGAGAAACATGATAGAATTCAGTGACAAAACCTCATCCCACTTCAGGCAAGTCTTCAGAAACAGACCTCTCTGGACATTTTTTTTTGTGTGACAGGGGTGCAGTGACTCTCAAGGGTGCTATAGGGCAAAATCTGTAACTCTTTTGTTTACTGTCCGATTTTCTCCAGTTTTGGTGCACAAGACAAAGTGTTTTCACTCTTTCTTGAAAATATTTATCAAAAGTATACCTCAAACAACAACTGAGAAAAGACTGATTTACTGAAAATGCCCTTGTGGCCAAATTTTCTCTTATATGGGACTACGTAAGGTTGTTTGGACACTTGGTGCCGAGAGAACAATGCTTATACTAATTTTCGGTGAGTCCTTTTCTCTAAATAAACTTATCTTTATTCCACAAAAAAATAAAGTTTGTTAGTTCCTGGAATATTGCAAAAAAATCTGCCCTTTACTCCCACATAACTCCCAAAGTATTTGGAATATTTCCAAAATTTGGTCACCGGAAAATAGAGAAATCATTATTCTACAATTTCTGTGAGCATTTTATTCCATTTAATTAAGTAATAGAGGAAGAATTTTGGACATTAGGTGAATAAGTTACTTGCCAGATATCGGCTGGGAGCGCCGGCCGGCACCCGTCTCAAAAAAAAAAAAAAAAAAAATTAGCGAAAATCGCGTTTGTTTGGGTGTATTTCTTAGTAAACTGATGTTTTCTAGTGCAGTTATCCTCAAAACACCGTTTTCTCTTACTCAGAGTCCAAAGAATACGATAGGGGAGAGGTGAAAACTCAAATAATATCAAAATATTCCCGATGGTCTTTCCCATATTATGGGCCTATTTTATTCAGTTAGAGAAATATAACATTTTTTGTATGTTATTTAGAGTGTTTTATTATATCATATAGATCAATTCGATAGACAAATAAGCCGTAGAGTTGATATATAAGCGTAATAATGAGTGATTCCTGCTGGAACTCTCGGGAGCGGGAACACTGCCGAGCATTCCCGTCTGGTTCCCGGTTGTCTCTAAGTCTACGGGTAAGTCCCACCTACTGTTTTATGATGCCAAATAGTCAGTTATTATATTAGAAAGAATAATGCAAGAAAAAGCGATAAAAAACAAGGAAAAAACTCCAAAAAATATACGGGCCGTGAGCAGACTCGCTACCAACATCGCCGTCACCATACCTGATATAAATGACTATAATTTCTTGTAGAAACGTCGTAGAACATTCATTCTGGTACCATTGTGTTGCCAAAGAGTTGAGCTATTTTTCAGTATATATAACTCAATTTCCATATTTTTTAGATTTTTCGGTGAGCGCGCGCAGAAATTTGCCCTACTGCCCCCTCAAGCTGGTCCTAGTGCCAGCAAAAGACAAAGAAGGCAAGTAACCCTGGGCAGGGACTTCATACCTCAAGTCCTTATGGAAGGGGATTCCCCTTCCAAACACTATTCAGTCCTCCCTTTCTCCTCCTCCATGTCTTCCATACGCCAACACGAATCTTCAATTGAGGTAAATGTGATGTTAAATGTTCATATCCATTTTATTAGTCATTTTATTTAGTTCTCATTGTTTTGTGTATGTTACTCTTCAAAAATGTATTTTTTGTTAATATTTTTGGGTGTCTAGAATGGATTCAAAATCTTTCTTTCTTTCAACACACTGGCCGTATCCCACCGAGGCGGGGTGGCCCAAAAGGAAAAACGAAAGTTTCTCCTTTCAAATTTAGCAATATATACAGGAGAAGAGATTACTAGCCCCTTGCTCCCGGCATTTTAGTCGCCTCTTACAACACGCATGGCTTACAGAGGAAGAATTCTGTTCCACTTCCCCATGGAGATAAGAGGAAATAAACAAGAACAAAAAACAAATAAAAAATAGAAAAAAACCCAGAGGGGTATGTATATACAGGGGACCCCGCATAACGATCACCTCCCAATGCGATTATGTAAGTGTATTTATGTAAGTGCGTTTGTACGTGTATGTTTGGGGGTCTGAAATGGACTAATCTACTTCACAATATTCCTTATGGGAACAAATTCGGTCAGTACTGGCACCTGAACATACTTCTGGAATAAAAAAAATATCGTTAACCGGGGGTCCACTGTATATGCTTGCACATGTACGTGTAGTGTGACTAAGTGTAAGTAGAAGTAGCAAGACGAAACCTGAAATCTGCATGTTCAGAGACAGAAAAAAGGACACCAGCAATCCTACCATCATGTAAAACAAAATTTCAGGCTTTCATTTTACACTCACTTGGCAGGACGGGAGTACCTCCCTGGGGGGTTGCTGTCTACCAACCTACTACCTAGGTGGATTCAAAATATTTTCATTAAATCTTATGGGAAATATTACTTCGGTTTTTGGACTTTTCTACCACATTTTTCACCTCTGCTATGTAGTATTTTGTAACCCTTATGACTTTTGTGCTTTCCACAAATATAATAATAATTATTAGCTAACAATAAAATTTTATAAATGGGCAAGTCAGAGTGGGGAGTTACTAGATGGGGAGATGGAGGTTTTGGGTAGATGGCAAGAATATTTTGAGGAACTTTTAAATGTCGATTTAAGAAAGGGAACGGTAATTTCATGCACTGGCCAGGGAGATGTACCATCTTTTAGGAGTGAAGAAGAACAGGGTGTGTGTGGGAGAGGTATGTGAGGCATTTTCATAGA